CAACAACACAGCTCAAGTACTGGTTCCCACAGGAAGTTCCCCTGTTTTAGAAGTAAGCAAACAATAAAAAAATTGGTTGTGGCCCAGGCACACCACCAGTGCCTCGGGACCTGCCAGGGGACCTGAGGCATAGAGCCGGGACTGGAACCCCCCCATCCAGGCACACCGACAGCACCTTGGGGCCCCACCTGGGGACCCGGGATATCTAGCTGGGGACCAGACCGCCCCGCACAACCAGGCACACCACCAGCACAAAGAAGCATGCCAAAAACATCACCTCCATGTGAGTGGCCCACCACAGTCACCACAGTAACCACAGCTGCCACGGAAGTGGCTAGACGTCACAACCACCATGCAGATTGTCTGCCAGCCACTGGAGTGCATTGACACAAGGAGAGTCACCAGCAGAAACCAAAGAAAAGTAGAAGATGTCTCTCTCCACAAAACCCATTCCAGAGTGACAGAAGAAGCATCTACTCTATGACAATATCGAGGGACCTGAACACACCTTTCAGCACTGGACAGATCATCTAGGCAACAAATCAACAGAGTAACCACTACTCTTTCAGAGGGAGAGAAGAAATCTAGGGTTATCAGAGGTGGGAGGAGGGAGGGAGAGCGGGACAGGGAGAGATTGGACAAGGGGCATAAAGAATAAATACAATTTGTAACAATATACATATTAGTAATATTGATTTGATCAACATATATCAATATTGAATCCCAAAAATATGTATAATCAATTATAATTCAATAAAAAAAAGTGTCAAAGCATACATCCTTATGAGACAGAGAAAAAAAGTAAAATGTAGTTACAAATGTAGGTACAAAACAGGTATCAGAAAGACAAACAACCCAATTAAAAAATGGGCAACAACCAGAATGGATGTGTTTATAGGTGTACACATATGCACATATGTAGACTTTCATATATCATCCAAAGAGATGGGTTATATATTCTGAGTTTTTCTCAGCACCATAAATATACTGGGCCTGACAGTTTTGACTTTAAGAAAGGAGCTGAGGGGAGAAAAACTGAAGTTATACACTATTTGAATTTGGAAGCATCTTGTATTAATTAGTATGAACTTAGTTTAAGTCCCTTCCTGTAACCGGAAACTTACATTATCATACTAAATTGCTAGTTAGGTCCTAAAATGGAAAATTCTAAATTCCAAGTTTTTATGTTACTAGCACTAAAGACAAAAAAATTTAAAGAAAATACAAAAATAAATTCATACTGAAACAGAGAGCCCAGTAAAGAGAATTAGAAAAATGCTAACCCTGTCATAAATCTGAAATGGCAAGAAAGTATACAATTCTACACAATGCATGTAAGAGACAATGCAACATATATCTCACACCCCCCATACAAAAAAAAAAAAAAAAAAAA